CCTACACAATGTTTTTTTTATAGAAATAATATATAATAATAACAATCATAATCAAGCACAAAATGTTTGTATAAGTTTTGGTTGATAAAAAAACTAACCAAATAAGTTATCAATGTGTACACACCTGTATACACTGTTACAATAATACAAGCATAGTGTAAATATTACAGCACACCGCAACAACAACTAACTACAGCTAACCACAAGTACCACTACATGCTAAACACCAATGAACAAATATACCAATGAGTACGAAGTTTAATTCTCTTTGAAACGAAACAAAAAAGGTAACTAATAATTGAAAAGTCTACCAATAACTATTTGTCTATATATATAAATATATTATGAACTTTGCTACAATACTCATGAAACTATTCTCTTGTTTATTTGAATAAAAAGTGTATGATTGATAATAATAGTAATAACAATAATAATAATAACAAGAACAAAACACAGGTAATAATATCACAGTTTATATTCTTATTATAATGAAATATATAAAGATATAAAATGAATGTACAAGTTATGAGTACACGTACGTACACACATAAGCATGATGAATTGGAATATCGTTTGAAGTGAATTCGGCATGTATTAATGTCTATCACAATTGACTAAACTCAACTTTTATAGATGACTGATAATGGTTATAAACTATGTTTCTGTTTACCTTTGATCGTTTGGTTAACCCTTCCAAAAAATGAAATAATATTGTTAACTAATACAGTTTTGTTTGTAGAATTTAAAAAATAGAATACTTCACAATATCGCGAAGTAATTGAAGTGAAGAATATAAGTCATTGGATGTTGACTTAATGATTTAAAGATTAAGCGCCTAATGGGAGACCCGAAGATCCTGGTTTCCAATATCCAATAAGGTAGCAGATAGTCACTGCTTAGATGTATTGTACACACCTACGTAAATCTATTCTTAGTCGGGCATTATGTAACCAGTGAATCAGTGTAATACATTCAATTATTTTGTTGACCATGTACGCGCAACTAGGTCTCTTCACAATTGTCACTGTTAAGCCAATTGACTATACTGTATTTATCCGCCTAGGTGTAAGCGTTTTGTACGTAGACCTGTACGTATGAATGTGTCTGTCCACACAACCTATCCATTGTCTTATATAACTGTGTATAAATTTACTCATAAACTTACAATGCATTTTGGCTAGTATGCCAATAAACGCTGCAATCGTGCATTGATTCTCCCGATTCATTTGCTGATACACATATATGTATGACACATACATATTCTCAATCGATTTGTCGTTCGGCTTTTTTTATATTGTGTTGTTTAAACTTGATTAGTCCAAGTACTATATATGAAACTTATTCGACTCTATATTTCCATGGGAGTTAGATACCCTACTACAAATCACATACTAGGATAACGTAATTTTCCAATGCCTTCTTGTAAAACTAAGATCAAAGGCAAAAAGGGTAATTCAGAGACGCTGACAAGCACACGCTATCCAGTCAAGAATCTGAGGAAACGGATGTATGCTACTGGTTTAAAAATATGGCTTCCGGTTTCGGAAAAACAAATATTTATAAAATGAGTCATATATACACATTTATATTTTCGAATCCAGTTAGCCAATAAATGCTTCCTACTCACTCATGATTTTCTCAGTCAAATAGCTGGTTGAACTTCCATATGGGAAGCGTTTGTATCAATACAATTAACTATATCCACTGCAGATCATACACACAACACAATTAATTGGTAATATGTGTGATGTTATCCACAAAATTACTTCTATTTCACTATTAGACAATTCGATTTTACATTGATTTGTTTAATTGAATAACGGGAATTTTAAGAACATACAAAATGCGTTTAATTGTTTTCCCATTACAGAAATCCTAACACGAACCATATTATTCATCAGTATACGTTCAAAGGAAGAAAAAACAGGTAAACTATTGAAGGCCAATGAAATAAATTATAAAAATGTGTAGAAAAAAAATAATAAAAAGTTGGAAAAAAAACTTATTCAAAAAAGAATAAACAATACAAACTAAAGTAGGATTACTCTCTCTCTCTCTCTCTCTCTCTCTCTCTGTTGAACATATTCAACTAGACAATAAGTAATAACGATAGGATTTTATCAACAAAGAATTGTAATAAACTATAATTGGATTATATACAACTAAGCTAATAATAATTATTCTTATTATCATTATACTACTAATACTACTATTATTACTATTACTTTTACTATTAATATGATTAGCTTTATAACTGTGTTAGTAATTGGGCTTGTTTACTGAATAATCAATAGTAATAGTAGTAGTAGTAGATAATTAAAAAATACAGTTATGATGGTGTTTGGCGTCAGACATCCAGATTTGTATATTTCGTTTTACATAAGCTACTTTTTTCTACAAAATAATTTGTATAAACACTATTTACGTACATGTCTAAGCGGAAGATTGTGTACGAAATAGAAAAAAAACATATTTAATCTCTAAGATAACTGAAAACTATGTAAATATTTATAGACACGAATATACACACACACACACATGAACACACGAACACGAATGCGTGCTCAAGAGTTAAAATACAAATCGTTAATATCAATAACCAGAAAATATAGACCTTTGCAAATAAAAGTGATACTCGTTTTACAAGCAAATAGCAATTCGGATTCAGTAGGTCAGTATATGATGTGTAAGTGTCTGCATCTAAAGGTGTTGGGTTCGAGTCCCAATATGTGAATATCAACAATTGGACGTGACAAGTATATTCAACTGGCCAGTTTGGAATATTCAACGTACATGAAAATTATATTGATCAGTCTCAAATTGCGTTACAATTTTTTAAATTACAAATAACTGCATAGATAAAAGTATTAATTTGAGAAAAAACACAACCTACTCAACTCCAATACTCATAGCCCATAGACATAACCACATTGTATATGAGATAAATATGATCATTGTATTTAACTTTTTTTCTGACGTTTACATTTTATTTACACTGGACATTATTAAGCGATACAATGTCTTGTAAAGAAAGGAACTGTTATTTTTGAAGAAGAAACCTATGAACTCATTGTATGACAGCGTATCGTTTCGAACAAACAATATTATTTTCATATAATATACTTTACATAAAATGATTCTAGGTACCAGTGTAATAACAGAATATAATAAAGACTGATCATCAGTCGGCTACAACATATAACTTGGTGCATACGTATATCAGTGTTATGCTCGTCAATTGATATGCTTGAACTATTACGAGTTCACCTTATTAGATAAACGAGAGCGAAGACAAATGATCCATTGACATGATAGGCTACTATAATCTGTTGCCCCGTCTAACTGAAGAAAGAAGTCTTGATATGGCGTAGAAAGTGTATTCTACAAGCACCTGGAAAATATGAGTTTTTTCAAGCATACAAATCGAGTTTATGTATACATGATAGAAGCATCCTTGGGAGAGCCACAAGAATAGCGCACTAAAATACTACATCAGCCAATGACAGTCAAGGATTTCTCCAGTGGAAAATGTAACCTCAAGGTCAACTGAATGAATATTATTAAATTAGCAATGAAAAAGAATATGCATTTTTAATAACTATCTGAAAATTAACATTCTCTATCTTAATTAAACCAAGTGTCCAATTCATGATTACCCATCTATACCGTTGGATATTTAGTGATTATCAGTGTTAAACCCTAGGTAAAATTATGTTTATCAGTTATATTGGGACAACATATTTCAGTAAACAATATTGTTTTCAATTAGATTGTCATCAGGCTTTACTTTAATATACATCGATATTTATATGAAAATGTAAAACCAATCAAAGCAATTTATCAGACAATCATCAATCACGATGGGGGATAGATTACGTAACTACACATAAGTGGTAAAAGTTCAAGGTGATAGCAGTAAGACAGGTGTATCGTTAGTGCTAGGAGTAATAAAACATAGTGACTAAAACCTGGAAGCACTGGACGGCCGTTTCGTCCTGGTATGGGACTCCTCTTGAGGAATCTTCTCCTAGTTCTAGTGGGAAGACGTGACCAGTGAAGTTCAACCTGTTCGGGTGTAGACAGTAACTACCAAAGACTGTGTATGAGGTTGCGCAACTCCGTGAATTGATCAAGTTAGACATTAACACCGTTAGATACCGGCTCAGTGGTCCGATGGTTAGGCGTTCGCGCACAATACCGAAG